AGTTGTAGGAGTAAACTTTCAAAATTAACTCGGGAGCACGTTTTTCATCAGATGACACCAAAATTAATTTGCTACAGTGAACACACAGTCCTGACAGTGAAGCATGGAGGTGGCAGCATCATCATACCGGGCTGCATCGGTGCCAAGTTGTTGGATAGATGATATTTATACATGCACCTTGTGGATAAACTAAAAAAAGAAAACAGCGACAAAAGTGCACCTGGACAAGTATATCTGCAGACTTGAAGCCAGCAGACACATACAAACATATGTGGGGTATTTTAAAGAGAAAGTTAGAGCAACACAAGCCCTCCAGCAAGGAGCGGCTGAAAAAGAAGTATCTCAGCAGAGCATCTCTGAAGAAAACCTCCGTGCCGAGGAGGATTGAGTCTGGTATCAAAATAAGAAAAAGAGGTGGACACATAAAGTACAGAAGAAGATTTGACTCTGAATAATGAAAGGATGTTTGTTGGGTTAAGTTTGTACTGTTGGGCCTGAAGTACAAATACAGTCAATCTGAGCAGTTAAACACAATTACTGTAAGGATGCACTTGTTGTCTACACATCCTCATCGCACAGGGCGTTTTGTCTGATTACAGCCGCATTGCTTCACCTCTTTAATGCACCTTTTTTAGCTCGTGACCCTTGTTAAGTGACCCAGTGTCCATTTGTGGCTCCGTGTGCTGCGTTGTTAAGCCAATCCTGTACCGGTCGATTCATTAGAAGGGTTTTAGCAGCCTAGTAAAGTCTCCTGTGTTTTACAAGAAGGAGAAAAACCCCAACAAAACTTAGAGAAAAGATAAATCTCGACCAAAGGATCTTGCTGCCAACGTCCCAGTGCCGGACACCGCAGGACTCCCCCAGAGGTCCGACGGGTCAGACCTGTTTTTGTGGCCCACACAGTATCAGGCAGGTGGTCTTATTGTTGTATACATGTACGCTGTTCCTTTCTGACCCCCATTTATCAATGTCAGGGTGAAAGCCGACACTTTAAAGCTGAAATTAAACCCTTTTTTTTGGGTCTGTGTTCTTGTCACAAAGCAAAAGGGAGAAATGATTTTGTTTAGATTTGTTTGGAGCTACACGGTCGAACCTTTCGAAAACACGAAGCGGTTTAAAGTCTCCGAGCAGATGGTCACGCTGAGCGGAACAACGCTCCGAACAAAAAACCCGACATAACTTTCCCGCTAATCCGGTTTCCGAACACGAGCACGCGTCCTGTCCGGCACCTTTAGCTCAACGAACGAGCGACCGCTGGGGAAAAGCTAATGTCGGTTTGCGAGCTAGATGGCTAATTAGCTGCTCTGCTGCATTAAGGCAGCCTGGAAGTGCCGCTTGGGTCCGGCGAGATGCCTTTTGTGTCGTTCCTACTCTTGGTTGACAACACGTCGTGTGCCCGTGACGTGTCGCTGCAACTTTGTTTGCTTTGTCTTTTGCTCCCCACAGTGCAGCAGCGGCGCTCTGGCCGACTGCCAGCCGCTGTCAGTCCGACGCCGACACGCCTCTGCAGCTGCCTGAGAGGAAAGGGAGCGTTTCTGGTCGCTTTCCTTCCCTTTAATAACACACAAGCACTAACTAATACATCCCAAACACGCCGAGATTAGTTTGCACCGCGTGCCACAAGATGAATATGCTTCCTTATCTGGTCGCTTTTTCTTGGAGACGTCGGACTGCTTCTCCGGTGTTGTGTTTGCAGGCGGCGGCATCTGTGCAGTCTGTGGAGGGAACAGCTGGCCGGGCCCGGAGTAAGGGGCGGCCATTAGCTCTGCGCTCGCTGACCTCCCAGGAGCACCTGAGAAAAGATGGCCAGCAGGCAGAAAGGCTAACATTTAATTGCGCCGAAAATGGCCGCTAAAATCCCCCCGACGGCGGGCCTCGGCGAGATGAGAAGAGAGAGGGATTATAAAAGACCGGAAGGAGACCGGATGTAACGAACAAACGGGGAAGTTAGCGGCACATCGGATGCATTGACGCTGCAGATTGATGAGTTATTCTACGACGTGCCTCCTCGCTGCGTGAGTGTTCGGTCGGTGTAGCCGCTCCAGGTTGTGTTGCTCGCAGCACAAGTCCTGCTGTAACTTATTCAGCACTCGGCCCAACCTGGCAATATTCACGTTGGCAGATAAGTTAAATTAATAATGATCCTACTGCTGCTCAGTATATTGACTTTTTTTCTTCTGTCCACAGAATCCTGTCCTCATGTACTCAGGTCTGAACTCTCTTGGCTTGTGTTTTCCTCTGGCTGTGTTTCTTAACTAATAATTGAGTGCTTTTTTAAAATAAATACAACCACTTGGCAACTCTCTTGTAGTTGTTCTAATAGAGTACCAGGCTCCGAACCAATATCCATTTTAATAATGTTGATAAACTTAGGATAGGGCATTCTAACTGTTTTACCAGCAAAGCAGCAGAAGTTTCTCTTTTCCTTCCTCCTCCTCCGACTCCTTGGTCAGATATTGATGGCGAGGCAATTACCGGATGACGGTGAGTTGGCCTCAGAGAGATGCAAAGTCAGAGGAAATGTAAAGCAGCGAGGCTGCAGCAGTAAAACAAAAACAAGCGCTCGTCCCTCACAAAGGCTTTCTTATGAGTGATGTTTGAACCAGCAGTGCAGAACTTTTGTCTCCTCCTCCTCCTCCTCCTCCTCCCGGCAGTGACCTGGAGAGATTTACGTGGCGTCCGATCGGCTTCATCAGCGTTGTGCGAACTTCGTCTGGCGAGGGCGTGAGTGTGATGGACGTTCATTTATATGTAAAAATCCACCTTAACCCTCCATCGGCTTTGAAGTGCATGATTTTGTTTTTTAAATAAAGCCCAAATTAAACTATTTATCAGAGCCAGAGAGTGTAAAAACACAACCTGTTTGTGGTCCTTGAACACATCTAGAGTGACGTGCAGTTTTGTCTGTAAAAATGACCAAAAACTAGCTTAAAACTGTGATGTTTCATTAAAATTCCTTCATTCTATTTATCTCATTGAAAAAATCACCAAAATTCACTTTATAGATTCTGTTGAAATCTGAAATTTTCTGCACTTGTCAGCAACAAGCATCAGTCGTACCACAAAAATTCTGGGAATTTTAAGGCTGAACTTTTAGGGCTTCATCAATAAAACAAAAGTTCTTTGGTCCAGAAACTGGTGCAAGTTGTCAGAAAGTTGTTTGAAGAAATTTCTCAAAAGGTAAAACCAAATCCTGCCTCTGGAAAAACAGAAAGAAAGATCCCTAAATCATGTATGACTTGCTGCTCCATCAGCATAGACAGTCAACAATAAGCTTAGAAGTGTGATGTTTCAAAATCACTTTATTCTCAATGTCTTATTTTTAATTCACACTAAAACAACAAACTGTCTGCACCGGACGGATTCTGTAAAAATCAAGAAATTCTTCACGACCAGTTCATCTGAGAAGCCGTGACTGATTCACCGCTAACCAACAGTCATGAGACAATAATTTGGGGGATGTTCAGGTTGAACTGCAGGCAGTGTTTACAGGAGACAACGAGAGGAGCTGAGAGGAAAATCAAACACACTCGATCAATAGGATGAATGTAATTTGGTTCAGAAACTGGTGAAAGTTGTTGGGAGACATTTTGCTGACTGTGTTTTCCAACAGCTTGCAAAGAACTTGAAAGTCCTGGACGTTCAATAAAAGTATATTTAAAACTCCTGCACACCTCTGAAGCCCAAAACCTGCCTCCGGCTTTAAAATGCATGTTTTCTTTAAAAATTATTTTCAAAATGATATTTATTGAAACCAGAAGTTGCCAAAACAGGAAGTAAAGTCAACTTTTCAATCGTTCTGAAGTGTTTCCATCAGTAAAAACAATAAAAACAAGCTTTAAGTTGGGATATTTTAATGAAATCACTTTATTCTGCATGTCTTTAACAAAAAATTACCCAAAATAAACTGTTTATATGAAGCAGATTGTATTAAAATGAGTAGATGTTGCAGCTCTTGGTGCATCTGAGGAGCCACGAGCAGGTTGAACTGTTTAATCTGAGCATAGAGGAGACGAGTATGGAAACATATTAGAGCGATTAAAAGGAAAATATAACATAATTTATCAATAAAATTAACTCATAAACTCATAAACTTGTTGAAGATGTTCCACCAAGCTGGATGTATCCTCCAATGATTTACTAGCAGTGTAAAAAACACAGTTTTCAGAATTTGTAAGCCTTTTGTTTTGGTATTTTTCCATTATTTATCATCTTCTATTTATGTTAAACCACACAAAAGACATTTTTTGCAATTCTCTCTGGTTCTAATCATGGTTTCAACTGTTTCCATCGAGGTGAAGGACTTTATATTGTGAAGAAAAAAAAACAGTGAATAAAACATACGACTGGAACAAGAAGCTGCTTATAGAGTGAAAAAGAAAAAAAAAATCAGACTATTTGTGTCTCAGCTTGTTGTGAGTTCTTGTCCGTCTACACGACTCCAATGAAACCAGTGATTACGCCTTTTCTAACGATAATAATAAACTGACCGTAAGTGGTCGGGGCTGCTGTCGGGTCAAAGTTCTTGTAAAAGTGGCGCGACGTGATCGATGCAACGCCGCACCGAAGCCCTCGTGACTGTGTCAGCCCGACGGACCAACAAGAATCCTTAATCAGGACTCTGAAGTGAGCTGATTTTATCAATGCTTCCCCTGCGGTTTGAATCTGTTTCGTACGCTCGCGTAATCTTCTTCACTTCTTCTTTTTGCACTTGTGTGATTTGATTTTTCCTCTTTAACAAGTTGTTTCCTCCACAGACAGTCAATAAAAATGCCAGTGACTTGAAAGGTCTCTAAATTATTAAAAACGGTTCTGATTTCGTGACAGATTTTGCTTTTAGAACAGAATTTGCTCGAGAAGAAGCACCGAGGAGGTTGTTTTGGTATTTATTCGCCTTTTTTTTGTTTTTTTTTCTTCCTCTGCTGTCCCGTGAAAGAGCACGTATACGCTCGGAGGAAATGTACTTGGTGCTGACTTTCCCTGTCTTCTCTCTGGTGCAGACGCCTTTTGTCAGAACCTCATCGACACCCTGGAGGGCACACCTGGCCTGCGCTACCTCTGGAGCGCCGTCAAGCCATTACTGCTCGGGAAAGTCCTCTACGCACCTGATACTCCCGCTGCTCGGCTGCTGGTCAAAGAAGTAGGTTCAGAGGGGGGAGGAACAAAAAAATGGAACAAAAAAACTTACTTTTCATGCACTTGAAAGTGGTAAAGCTGCATTTTTAGTTTTAGTGCGTTTACGGGAGATATTAGCTGCAGGAGATGAGATAAAACTTTATGAATGCTGATGTTACTCAGGATAAAACAATGACGTGACATCAGAAATGCAGTGACTAAAAGTAGAAAGCAGTGAAATATAAGTATGATGCATGACTGAAATATAATAAGAGTGCTAATAATGGAACTTTCAAGAGTAATGCTGGCATTTACACTGAGTTATATGACACAAGACAATGAAAAATGAGCAGAAATATTGCACTTAAAAAATGAAAAGCTGCACAATACTTGCACAATATTGCACATAAAAGTGAAATATTGCACGTGCAGTCAAAACGCTGCGAGTAAAAATGAAATATGACACCCGTGCACTGAAAATACGAGACATAGCACATGAAATAAAACGTCACACATGCTCTTTAGAAGTAATAATATTGATAATGTGAGAACATTGGGAGTCACATGTTACTGCTTAGTGCCAATAAAAAGGGAAATAAAACTGTATTTAGTCTGGATTCCTGCTCATGGATCCCACTGTAGTTCTTTTTTTTTGTCATGACACAACATTTCTCCCAGAGATTAGCATCGTTTTGATAACCGCGTAAGCAAAACAAACAACAGCCAAAGATTGCGCGCGGAGAGACTGCATAATGAGCCGGAGCAGAACCTGCCGACTTCACAGCGAGCGGCCCGGTGTTGGCGCAGGAGGCCCCCGCTCACACCAGACGTAGTGGGATTGTTTACAAGTCAGCGTTCGGGGTAAATAACCCCATTTACATTCGGCGCCGCGGGGAGGTGGGGGAGCGGGAGGCAGCGTTACAGTGCGACGCTTCCTTCAGGGATTAGCTCAAAGTGCAGATGTGGAGTACTTTCATGTCTGTATTAGCTCGGCACACACAGCAGAAGGCTCAGCGGGTGGATGCGCTGGTGAATTCAGTTTTTTTTTCTTTTCTGGTTTCAGGCTAACAGCACGTTCGAAGCCTTGGCCATGCTGAAGGAGCTCGCCGATTCCTGGGACGTACTCGGGCCACGTGTCTGGGATTTCCTCGAGAACAGCACTCAGGTCAACGCAGTGCGGGTGAGACGATGCTCGTGTTTTTTAAAACTTCTTTTAGGTGTTTAGACAAGTTAAGTGTGTAGTTGGGACAGTTCTTCAAATGTTTGCTTTTGCAGAAATCATTGAAAGCTGGAGAATAACTCACTCCTTGTCCGCATTGAGATCAATAATCCAGAATAATACACTCTGATCTGTACAATAACTACATATAGATCGGTGAGACATTAAGGTAAAACTTTATTAGTCCCAGAGGAGGTTCTTTTGCCAGATACTTCTCAGAAAACCAAATCAAACGACGTGAAAAATGGATATATGATAGCTTTAAGTGCGACACACGGCAGCTAAAATACGACTATGAATGGACAAAGAAGTACGTATTAGGAGCAATAGCTCTAAGATATAATAATTAATACACATGTGACAATGAAATACTGCACACAGAGTGGAAATATTACACCAGATAATGGAAGATTGCACAAAAAAAATGGAATAAAACACATGAAAACTGAAATATTGCTCGTGAAAACTGATAAAAGGGGACATTTTGCTGGTTTAGTTTGGGGCTCCTTAGAGGGAAGGTCTCTGCAAATCAGCACAGAGCTCCTCTAAATCATCACCTTTGTCCTGTAATTAAACACTTCTATCCTGATGGCATGGCAGTGTCCACTTCCACAGACCACGAAGGGTCACTGAACGCTCTGATTCCTCTTAAAGTGATGTGAGTTATTTGCTTTGACCTTCTCAGTCATCACATCTCAACCCAACTCAACTTCAATGGGAGGTTTTAGATTAAAATGGCGTTCCGACCTCCGCTAGAGCTCCACAGACTTGGAGAACCAATGCTAAGGTGCATTCTAGTGGCCCAGCCTCTTTCTAAGAAACTTAATGTTGGTTTTTCCTTTAATTTGTCGCCAATCTGACTCCTTCCAAAGATAAAACTCCACCTCAAACTCCTCTTAGAGCCAGCTGTTCCCAAGTTCAGTGTCTCCCGCATCCTAATTTACACATAAATGGAATTAAAGCAGGCTGCACCATTTGAAAACTGGTTCTAGTGAAATATTTCCACTCAGTAGCTACTGGATTTACCAGCAGATAACCAGTCAAACCAGTGCTGTGAGTGGTGACCGCACAAAGACAACAAAACTCACATTATACTTAAAATCAATGCAGCGATTATTTGATTCTTTTGGCACACGATCGGCACAACTTTAACACCTTTATCGCTTCTTCCAGACGTAGAAATCCACCTGCTAGCTCCACCAACAACTAATTGACTGTTGATTAGCGTTAGCTTGACTGTTTCTTGATCGTCCAGCTAGCTAAATTAAAGCAAGAAACTCGCTCTTCCGTAGATGTCACGGCCTCATGGACATTTATTTGTGAGTTCGGACCCCTCAGTGACGAGAAAACTCACCCACGTCGGGTGTTTATGTAAGAAAATGCCGGAGTTACTGGTGTGTTTTTTGCTCCCTTATCTCTTTGCTGTATTTTCCAACCTGGGCTCATCATAAAAACAACCTCCTTCACTGCACTGCAGCAGAAAATACAAGATTGAATAGAGTGCTGCGTAAAGCCCCTGATATTTTTCCTGTATAAAAATAAATAAAATAAAAATAAAAAAAAATGAGAGGATGAGTTATACATATGCTGCTGCGGATGAGGCCGTATATGCTGCGTGCATCAATTTGTTGCACCTCCCGTTAGATATGGAGACGCAGGGAGGAAAGTAATTATGGATAAGTGCAGGATAATTTTCATCCTGGCAGAAGGGATTATCTATAGAAGTAAAGGACATGGACTCTCCGCCGCCACTTCTCTGCCTCTGCCTGCCTGCCTGCCTTCTCCTCGCCGTATTTCCTTGACACTGACATTACTCCAGTGTCACTCCAAATGAGCTTATAGGCAGCTGCAGGGAAGCAGACATTGGGAGCTCCATATAGCTGGGGTATTCATTACCCTAGCCCTAACCTTTACACAAATGGACCGGCAATCCTCCTTTGTCTTCATTTTCTCCCAGCCCCGGCGCTCTCCCTCTCCACCTCTCTGCTACCGAGCCGCCTGCTCCGGAGCTTTGTCATCTCCGGAGGTCCTTCAAGGTCGCAGACGCGTTTTTTTTTTTTTTGCGTTGATGGACCAATTACCGGCCGCCGCTGCAACCTGCGTTTGAAGATTTAGGGAGTGGAGGCGCAACAGAAGGAGGTGCTCGGTCGGTTCGAGTCGAGTCGAGGATCTCGCCCCGAGTTCGGTGACACCTGTGGTTACCGTGGCAACAAGTGTGGCCCAATGCCGCGTGTCCGAGCGGCTCCTCCGTCGGGAAGAACAACCGGCAGCACGGAAACCCTTAACGAGCCGCCGAGCGCGCGCCGGCTACGAGGGGAAATGCACATTACTTTGTCACCCCCCGCATGACAAATAATTTCATTTAGCGCACGAGCAGCAAGGTTAAACGGCACATTGTTTTCTCCAGATGCTGCGTGCGGAGGTGAAAATCCTCCAACCGGCACCGGAAACAGCAGATAACACACAATCCAGTGATGCAAAGACGACAATCTCATGTTTAATTTCTTTTTAAAGTGCAGAAATTTGGTCTTTTCCTTTTTAAAAACGTCCACAGAAGCTCTTTGCACAACCTGAACGACCTTATCTCTCTTTTTTCACCCACTTTCCTCTTTCTTTAGATATAAATCCACCTACAAACGCACTAATTAGGACTAATTACACTTCGCTGTGCCATAAGTCACGGTTAGCATGCATGTTTTTCTCATCGTAATTTATGCATAAATGGAATTAAAGCAGGTTCACTTGGTAGCAACGAGATGTAACAGCTGCCAGTCCACCTACAAATACCAATAAAACTGACTTTTACGTGTTAATTATTGTTACCAGCTGTTCAAAAGTGTTTCCAAAGTCGTGATTTACGCACAACTAAATTAAAACAACAAAAACTAGTTGTATTTTTAACTTCCAGATGCATCAACAATTTGCAGCACCGATTTCTTAGCAACCAAACGTGAATAATTACACCTTTAACTAGCATCAAACTGGACCCAACAAGAAAATTATCACGTCTACGTCATTGGAAGACCCTCACATGACGAATAATTTAATCCAACACCTGATCACCAAGGATAAACAGCAACTGTTTTAATAAACTTAGCTGTGACGTAAGTAGGGGTCGGCGTCGATGTTTTTCACATCATAATTTATGCAGAAATTAAATTAAAACTAAGAAATATTTTGACTGATTTCATCTAGTTGCCTGTTGACAGCTTTCAGCAAACCAACATCACAAAGACGACAAAAGTCATCCAACTTTTTAAAAATGCAGAACTTTTCCTTTTTAAGAAAACATGCTCAGAAGTTCTTTGCGCATAATCAGCACAACTTTAACACCCTTAGCTCTTCATTTTGCCCATTTTTCTCTTTCCAGAGGTAGAAATCCACCTACAAGTGCCACTAAAACTAAACCGGTTTCCTCCACTGTTTCTTGATCCCGAGAAGCAGCCGTTTCCCAAATCGTGATTTACATGCAACTAAATTAAAGCAAGTTGCACCACAGAAACCAGCTCTCACCCAGTTGTAGGTCCAAGAACCAGCTGTTCAGAAGTGTTCCACAAGTCGTCATTTACATGTAACTGAAGTAAAGCAAGTTTCACCACAGAGACTAGTTCCTTTGTGAGAACTAAGAAGAATAACGGAGGTGTTGTAGCTTCACTTCATAACTACCGGGTAAAAATCCACCTACAAGTGGCACCTACTTGTTAATTAGTGTTTCCTCGACAGTTTCTCGGTCAGATGTCCAAGAAGCACGTTTCCCAAACCAATATTTACGCATAAAGCAAGTTGCACCACGAAAACTGGTTCTTAAGGAGGATACCTTTAACTAGCACCTGCACCTACAAGAAAATGCATGTCTGTTTATCACCACAAGACACTCACATGATGAATAATTTTATTTAACACGTGATCACCAATTATCTCTTCATTTCACCCATTTTTTCTCTTTTCAGACGTAAAAATCCACCTACAAGTGCCACTAAAACCGACTGTTAGGGGTTAATTAGTGTTTACGCGACTGTTTCTTGGTCAGACGTCCAAGATCCAGATGTTTCTTAAATCAATATTTATGCATACAGCAAGTTGCACCATAAAAACTGGTTCTCACACAGTTGTTATACACATTTTAACATGCTTTTGCAGCAAACCAGTGTCTTTGATTCGCAAGTTTGGATTTCTTTGTGACCAAACTTGCATGAAAACCTTCAGGATTGTACCTTAAACTAGCTGTTAAACCTGCACCTACAAGACAATGCACGTCACTTTATCATTTTAATTTAACACATGACCACCAATTATCTCTTCATTTCATCCATTTTTTCTCTTTTCAGAGGTAAAAATCCACCTACAAGTGCTACTTACTTGTTAATTAGTGTTTTCTTGACTACTTCTAGGTCAGACGTCCAAGAACCAGCTGTGTCCTAAACCAATATTTCCGCATAAAGCAAGTTGCACCATAAAAACTAGTTCTTACACAGTTCTTTTGCGACCAAACTTGCATGAAACCTGAAGGAGTATACCTTTAACTAGCTGTTAAACCTGCATCTACAAGACAATGCACGTCACTCGATCACTTTAAGTTAACACATGACCACCAATTATCTTTTCATTTCACCAATTTTTCTCTTTCCAGATGTAAAAATCCACCTACAAATGCCACTAAAACTGACTGTTAGGGGTTGATAAGTGTTTACTCGACTATTTCTCGATCAGACGTCCAAGAACCAGCTGTTTCCCAAATTAATATTTATGCAAAAAACAAGTTGCACCACAAATATTGGTTCCTACACAGTTGTTAGTATACATTTATTGGGTTTCTTTGCAGCCCTACTTGCATAAAAACTTCAAGGATTCCACTTTGGCTACACCTTAACCGCCCCTACAGGACAGTGAACATCCCTGTGTCACCCCCACATTGTAAATAATTTTATTAAACAACTGACCGCTGAGGTTAAACAGCAACTGTTTGCCTCAAATGCCACTGAACAGCGAGGATTCCAGCCACGGAGCCGGTTTAACGGCCACAGTCCATTTCCCGGCACGGCTCCGTCACCGCCGACTCTCTGTCTTTTTTTTAAATACACACATTTTGGTCGGGTCACGTCCTTAATGTGGCAAAACCCACAAAGATAGATGTACTGATTTTTTAAAAGGTCACACGCGGCATTGAGATTACTTAATTTGACACTTTGTCCTTAGGTTAAGCAGAATATCATCAGACGTGTTGACACTGAAATGCCACTGAGCACACTGGCCAGAATATATCTGAATCTCAACTCGGGCTTTCGCGCTGCTGAGGCCAAAATGCTCAATTGACGCTCGGCGCCCTTTGCTGTCCCAAAGTCGTGCTCGGCGTCGGGCGACGGGCTAAATTTACCAATTAGTTCAAATGAGGGGGTTTCAAACGACTTATTAGAGGTTAGCTTAGGTTCCTTTTTCTCTCTTTATTTTTTCTCCTGCGTACATGACGGGTAAAATATCAGTGTTGGGTTTAATTTTTGTACTAACACTGTCATTAGAGTCATATTATTAGTGGGGTGTTCATTTCACAGCAACAGGAAGCGACGCAAATAGCGGGTAGCGAACAGAGGGCAACGCAGCGACACCAACAAGTGGGAGGAGGATTATTTAAACTGCACGAGGAGCTCAGAACCGTTTATTTCTTGAATAAAAACACACAGATTCATGTGTTATATATATACATGTGTGTTGCTGTGCTAGTGCAGGGATGTTAGTGAAAGGGATTGTTGGTTTTGTATGTCTGTGTGTCACGTTGTGTGTTTACAGGCAGGAGATGTGATTTGCATTCATTTTCCGATGTTATTTTTTGATTATTATTGTACATTACTGCCAGCGAGAGGAGCTGATGTGCGTCTCAGAGCTGCTGCTTGACGTTTTTATTAAATCGATATAAAAATAGAAGTTCAGCTCCTCGACAGAGCAAAGCATCTATAGCAATTAGAAGTCACCGAGGTCCAGTTATTGAAATTTCCTCCAAGTAAAAGGTCCGAACCCAAGTCCAGTTTGTGTCTGATAGCCTTCCCCTTTGGCCACATGTTCATGGTTTCAACAGTAAATTGTCAGTGCAGGATATGTTTAACTGAGTTTACCAGATATATAAGTAGTCCCAGGCAATAAAAAAAATGGAGGCCTTTATTTCAGATTAGAGAAAACAACCTCAGAATAAAATACATTTAAAAAAGTGCAAATCACCCTTTTGTCTCTTAAATTAAAGAGGTCCCAGCCTAAAGAACTTAAGGCCTCCACTTCAAGTCAAAAAGTCAACTCAAAGGTTTGGTTTGCACGTTGCCGGGCTGTAAATGTGGTGATGAGTCGGGTCGATCTGTCAAACCGGGCCTGCAGCTCGGTTACTCTGCGTGGCCTCAGCTCGGACTTCAGGGGATAACTTTGGCTGGACTGAGTGGAGCTATTACCGTCGTAACTGGAGTAGCAGCGCCCGCTGTCTATAGCCGCAACCATCGGAAAAAATGCTCCTTGAAAATCTATTCGCGTGAATTTATCAGAGATTGGTCACGGGTCCGGACAGAACCATCACGAGGTCCGTCATTTGGTGGTGCCTGATCTATGGTCTTAATACACTCTGTATTAATTGGTTTGTTTTTTTGTTTTTTTTTAAATTGTCTGCTTCAGAGATGAAATTTTCTTTGATTAGACGGATGGGAAATCGAACGGTAAAAGTGCAGGTCGGCTGATGTTTTCAAGATATTTCACGACGACGTTTTGTTATTTCAAATACATGGACAATTATGTCATTTATTTATAAATCTTATGTTAAACAGAACACCTAACCCTTCATGGATCAAACAAGAAACGTCTTCCTACTCACAGTGATTAAACGTGTTACAGAGCATGAGCTAAAACATCACATTTTCATTTTTATTCACGATCTAAGCAACTTGTTGACTTCGTCTCTTATACGCGGCATCAACACAGTCCAGCAATGGTCAGTAAGCACAAGTTATCTGCGTTGATGACACAGTTTGGAGGCAAACATATGAGACGGATCCATAGAAATATTAACCACTGACGGTTTTACAAGCTCCAATGATTTCTGCAAATACGTCAAACCGAGCATGTTGTGTCATCGTGTGAATGTGTTCTAATGTGCAGACGGTGTTTTAAGATTGAACTCAGAGACAAACATTTGCATAAAATTTCCAATATTTGACCCAATATTGTGTCTTCAAAGCGCTATTTAGCTTTTTCAACCCAAATTTCCGTTCATATGGCTTCTTTTTTAAACCTCTAAGGTGATTCTAACGACCTCATCTCCATCTTCTCACCTCTGAACTCAGGCTCTGCTGGCGAATCCCGTGTTCGCTTACACCATCGATGAGGGTCTGAAGAGCAGCGAGTGGGATGCCGAGACGCTTGCCAACTTCCTGTACAGCGGGCCTCCTGAGGACCGGCCGGCCGGCGCGCCGCCTAGCGACTGGAGGGACGTTTACAACAGCACCACCCAGATCCTGCAGCTCCTCTCACAGTTCCTCGGCGTACGTATATTTTCCTTTTGCTTTCGGTAAACTCCTTACAGACTCCACCTCGCTCACGCACCTGAAAAACAAAAAAAGCTCTCTGACATTTAAGGTTTACACATAATTCTCACTGCTAAGGGAAATTGGCAATACATATATATTTTTTTTCCTGTCCTTCCACTCCAGTTTCTTTCTTTCTTAGCCTTTCGCTCTGTGTTATTTATTCCGGTTACCTGATATTACCCTTGTGATTTCTGTGGCTGGAGTTGCCATTAAAAAATAAGTGCTGCGCGACCTTTAAAATGCTCAAACAAAACCGTCGATTTGGTAAAAAAAAAAAAAAGTTCTTTTCTCCAGATTGCTGAAATCATGGAGCTAACTTTAGCCACTCGTTAGCATCTCACGTACGCTGTTTTCTCTTTAACTCTGTTACATGCATTCAGACTTTAAGACAGCGATCTGGCAAAAAGCGTCTGATGTAATTGCTTTAATTTATTCCGCTCGCAACTGTCACACAACTCTGGCAGAACATCAGGGCCGTGGCGGCATGCAAGCAGGCTGCTTTGCATCCGAGGCACAATGCGTCCATGTTTAGCACGGCGGCGCCTTCTATTTTTTATTTTTTTATTCTGTTTCGTCGCCTCTTTTGTTGCGGTGTCTGCGCTCCGCTATTGTTCAAACCCAAATCAAGGCTGCAGTTTCTTTTTTATCTTCCTCTTTCTCTCGGCTTTTGTGTTGTTTTTTTTTTTGGAGAACAAGCAGAAAGGAAAAAAAAAAAGCTTTTGGTCTTTTGTTCATTAAACTTTAATATCCTTGACTTAACAAACTGTCAAATACACGGGAAGATCTGTCACTACACTCCTTCCGTGATAATCGCAGAAACAGAAAGCATTGTTATTGGCCAGACTGTAGTGAATCAGAAGCACGGCGGCGTCTCTTAAGTAGGAACACACACATCGTCGACATTGATATATTGATTGTGGCACAGTTTGCTGCAAAAAAAAATCTTATTTTCTCTTTCAAACGCCGGCACAAAGCCCATCGTCAGCTCCTGCCACCCTCACGTATACACGTGTGCAATTTCAAGGTAAAATACGCAAAGTGACTCAATCTGTTTCCTGGGGAAGTTATCCGACAGCCTCTTACCGCTCTGCCGTCGTGTCTGCATGTATATAACAAGGGGGGGAAAAAAAGTCGATTTAATTTGTCTTTTTTTTTTGTTTGGTGGCAAAACAGATTTCCTACAGAATTACTCTTTATAGTGACTCATCTAACTAGCCTGGAAATCACACAGTCGGTGAAATGAAGATTATCTAAGTGCAGGGAATGCGTCTCAATCACTGTAGTACAAAGACCACTGGTGTGTTGGTGCTCCTGACAAAAGAAGACTTTGAGGAACCCCGTATAAAAGGAGAAGTCACTGATTATCTGTTGGCGTGCAGTTAAATGCATCATTAGGAAACAGAAGGAGTGAGACATGAGTGACTCTATTGGCCACAAAGACACCTGTGACTTTATCCAAATTAGTTACGAGCTTCAGCAGCTGAGATGCAAAAGACTCACTAAAG